AGTTGATATTTCACTTTTTTCAGATAAATTCCTTCTGCCATGACAGAGGCGTAGCTTAGCAAGAACTGCAAAGGGGGCAAGCTGCAAAAGCTGCAAGCTTAATGACTTGCGACTCCTCTTATAAGACAGCCGAAGCTCATGTTGCAGCCCATACAAAATGCATTATTTAGACATATATAGTCACATGTATATATATATTTATATATATATATATATATATATATATTATATTTAGCATCTCTCTACTTTAAGCAGACGTCCGGCGGAATGCTTCACACATTATGTTCGCCTGATATTCAGCTGTCTGGAATTTGATTAAAATAATTTACGATTTCTTATGCTCAAGCTTCATATATAAATATATATAAATACATATACAATTCAACATTCAATATATAAATGCATATATGTATTCATATATATATACGCATCTACAATTTATCCCCACTGCAGCAGATTCTGACGCTCTCTTGATTTGGATTAATGAAAATATTTATTATTGATGCCTACTCGCGCGACATTGCTTCACTCAATGTGGCAATTGCCAATGGCCAAGTAGAATACTGATTGATCACAGTCAACTATGGTCGCAGTTGCTGGCCCTTTGCATACCCTGTAAATATTAAGCTCAAGCCATTCAAATTTTAATTTTAAGCTAAGAAAATTTCTGCTCGCTTAGTTTGACTCTTAACTCTGTGTAAATTGTTTAAAAATATTTTTAATTAAATATATTTATATATTAATAATAAATATATAACTCACAAGAAATTGTATATAAATTAAAAGCGAGAAAAATTATTTTAAAATAAATTAAATTAAATAAAAACAAAATAAATAATAATAATAAATAATAAGAATTATAAGTAATATTAATAAACTATAATTATTAATAACAATAAATAATATTAATGATAAATAAAAAAAAATAAATCATAAGTACAATAAAAAATATATAAATAATATAAAAATAATAATTAATAATAAATATGTAATTCTTTGGTTTATTTAACCGTTGTCGAAATTCTAATAATAAATAAAACAGAGCAAAGCCTCCATGAACGTTTTTACAGGGTATCCATATGACTCGCATAATAAAGTGGCAGCTCGCTCTGATTTCGTCGTGCAAACCGAAGGCACGAACTTTGTGGGCGTGGCACCCGCAGACACTGCTATCGATAGCAGAGCAGACCTGAGCCACCTTTGTCACCTGCTCCACCCGCGCCACCTGTTGCAGCTTTCGTTTTAAATGCATTTACTGCAGAGAGCAAACCCGTGTGTTTGCACATCCTTTCACAGTGGAGCCCTGTTGGGGCACTGGCATTGGATTACGGGATCTGCTGTTGGGACACGCCACAACACGCGCTGTAACTGCTCCCTCCATCCACCCCTCTCGCCAGCCCAGCCACCGCTCAAGGCCCTTTGCTGGTCAAAATAGCGACGCAATTTCGCTTGGCGAGGCAGCCAGTTGGCGGAGAGTAGTTTCGGTGTGGCAAGGGCAACTGAAGCAACGCACTTGCCTGCACATGCCACACGCAATCTGTGTCGCCTTAACCACGTGCCACGCCCACTACATACCACCATCGCCGCCCACTGGCCACTCCTCTGGACTGCAGAGCTCGTGTAAATTATTTTTAAATTTCACAAACATTTAAACAGCTGTAAATGGCGGAGTTTGAACTCGAAAGTAATTTATTTATGGACTCGCTAAAGCAAACAATTCATAACAAAATTTTACCTCATATAAATGAAAACAAATTTAATCAATTTAAATGTGATGAAGACAGCGACTTCTGACTGATTGACTGACTGACTGACAGAGTCAGTTAGTCCGTCTGTCTGTCAGCTGCAGCTCTAGTCAGGGTATTTACTAGTCAGTCCCAGGTACTCTTATATTTAATTATATTTTAATGACTATAAAATAAATACCAACAGAATGTGAATACAGAAAGTGCATTAAAATCTAGCAAAATTCTTTAACTTTGTTACAAATTAAATTGAAAATGTTTTTCCAAACTCTTAAAAGTATTTATAACATCTCGATCTATCGATAAAGTTATCGATAACAATATGTAAAGATGGAAACATGATAACATTGATCAGAGTTAGAAAATGCATAGTATATATAGAGAAATATTTATAAAAAGATAATTATGGAAATTAAACATATCTGAATTTACTGGATCATCATGGAAATACCATGGAGCTACGCTCTCTTTCTCTTTCTCATTCTCAGCGTCACTCCCTCTCTCCTGCTCTCAAACTTCCTCTGTCTTATCCCAGTCATTTACAGTTTCATTCTCATTCTTCCCTCATTCTCATTCTCATTCTCATTCTCTCTCTCTCATTCTCTCTCTCTTCTCTCTCATTATCATTCTCATTTTCAATTTCATGCTCATTCTCATTCTCTCTCTCACTCTCTCTTAATCTCATTATCATTCTCTCTCTCATTGTCTTTCTCATTCGCTCTCCAACCTCTCTCTCTCTCTTCTTCTCGCTCTCTCTCTCTTTATCTCTTTTTCTCTCTCTCTCCATAGTCCTCTCTTTCTGTTGCTACTATCACCACAGCCTTAACAGCAGCTGACAAATATTTGTGCAATTCCCAAAAATGGGGAATCAAATTTTGTTTTCTGTTTGTTGTGGTTGCATTCTGCAAATATTCGCAGAAACTCAGGTATAAACTAGAGAGGTGTGTAGGGGTATTTATATATCGAGAGACTTGACAGCCGTCTGTCAGGCAAGGCCAGTGTGTGCATGAGAGTAGGTGTGCGTGTGTGTGTGTGTGTGTTAATATACACACTCATTTAGTTGCGCCCGCCAGTTCAATGAACGACTTGTCGACTGCGGCTGTTACTCATTTTGGTGTTTTGTGTGGCGCAAAGTTTTTGCCTAATTAAATCAACAAAGCGCTGGAAAACCACACACACGCACACACACAGCCTGCAAATGGGTCTAAAACAAAAGCTTTTCATAATCAAATGCAATTATTAAGCCAACCTAAAAGAGACAAATTAATCAGATTCAACAATTTAATAACGGACGCCAAATACCAAGCGAGTTCCTCAGCCGACCCGCCACAAACTAAAGGGCTTGAGTGAAGAGGGTGCGGGGGTGGGGTGCTTGGTGCAAAAATATATCCAAATTTCGAGTATAAATTTATCGTAATAAAAGTTTAGACAAGTGCGAAATTTGCTTTCATAATTCATAATTCTAATTGGGTTGGCGACGATTTGGCTAAATATGCTAAACATACCCTGTAATTTTGATAAGTCGGGTATGTTTTACTTAAAAGTTATATATAAAAAAAAAATATACATGTTTCTGGGTCAAGTTAGACATATAGATGCAAATTAATTACGTTTTATTATATTTTTAAAAATTCATTTATAAAATTTGTTGCTTTTTTTTAAGAAATAAAATATTTTTCATATACTGAGAAATAATAAAAATATTATAAATCAATTTTATTAAATTAATTCTTAGTATTTTTATTATTTCACAGTATATAAAATATATTTTATTTATTAAGAACAATCAGAAAATAAAATATATTTCATATACTCTGAAATAATAAAACTATTAAAAATTAATTTTATTAAATTGATGATTCTTAGTATTTTTATTATTTTATTTTATTATTATTTATTTATATGTTATAATGAAAAATAATAAAAATTTTAAAAATCAATTTTATTACATTGATTCTTATTATTTTTATTATTTCACTGTATATAAAATATATTTTATTTCTTAAAAACAATCAAAAAATAAAGTATATTTCATATACTGAGAAATAATAAAAATATTAAAAATTAATTTTATTAATTTGATGATTCTTATTATTATTTATTTATATTTTATAATGAGAAATAATAAAAATATTAAAAATCAATTTTATTAAATTGATTCTTAGTATTTTAATTATTTCTCATTTTTTAATAAACTAAAAAGTTAATTTCAGGGTAACTACTTAAGTTTATTTTTCAATTATATTTATTCTAATTCTAATTTCAATTTCATAAAAGCTTAACTTTAAGTTACAGGGTATTTGCAAATCAACTCTACTCAAGCTTAGCCAACTAGAGCGCTTTAAATATTTTTAAATGCTTTACAGGGTATTCTCTAGTCAGGCAAGCGCAAACTCATGCAATTACCAAACTCGCGAAGGAAGTCGAGGACGTCCGTCTGTGGGGCTTATGTGACTTAGTGTCATAAATTACAAAATAAAACTAAATAAGCCGCTCCAAGGAGGTAAAGGAAAATAGCTTAAAATATCATTGAGAAAATGAGTAAAATGTCTGGGGATTAAAGCAATTATGTCAGTGATATCAGTAAAAGAAGCTAACTCAATAGAACGAGGCGCCCAGGCAAAGTTTAATTCATTAACTCAGCTGAATCTCTTCTAGTTCACTGAATAACTTCAGTGGGAGACTAGCTGCTTACGAGCACCGCCTCTATCAACGCAGCCTTTGCACCAAGCCAACAAAATTCAAAATTACATAAAATATACATAAGCCTAAATACAACATTTGGAGGCTCCTCATCAAGACTATATACTTTATGGGGTCTGCCACACCTCCTGCTACCTGTTACATACATTTGCACAAGCCATTATACCCTGATTTCCCATTTTGAATGGGATCATGGTATAATAAAAAGAAGAAAAACTGACATCAAGGCAGCAGGACTCGAACCAACCGCTAAGCCACATGCAGGACTTCTACCAACACCGCCTCTTCATATTTGTAAAAAAAATAGAAAGCAAAAGCCCGACCTTTCCTGAATTCGAACACAGAATTTCCCAACAACAAGCGCCGCCTCTACGAGCACCGTCAGCGCATTGCTGCCACAAGCAGCTGCAAATATTAACTAAAGTCAGAGCCGACAACTCACATATTTGCTCGACGCGCAAATACCCGTTCCTTGATTCTTGCTGGGAAAAGTCTTAAAAAATTTACAAAATCAAAACAAGCCAAGCCTCAAATGTATTTCTTCGGGCATTAAACAACAATATTAGTGCCAATATCTATTTTTCAATTGTTTTGATTTTGCTGGAAAGGAAGTTGAAAATATGCTAAGCCCTTGCCAGTAAAACACAAGACAAAATTCCAAAAGTTACAGCAATCGTATAGCTCCATTACAGCAAATCTAAATTGTAGCAAATTGTTTTTAGAGCTGAACAAAGCTTAGGAAAACAATTACGGGAATGAGGGGCTTTGCGAATTGGATTGTTAGTTTGGGCCTGGCTCTTTTAATATGGACCATCTTTTACTACTCCCAAATGACGGACAACGCCAAAGGGGGAACAGAGGAAATGGGTAAGTTCGAGGGCAAAGAGGGAAAGGGAAAACTTCAGATCAAAGCAGCCATATCAAGAATTTATAATCTTCATATCATGTTAAACAACAACTGACTTTCACACGTGACACAACAATCAACTATTTGGATATGGATATGGATGCCAATAAAACATTAGACGAGGAGCTGCAGGATCCATTCTCGGATAGTTGCAAGAACAGCTCCATTGACGTATACTTGCATTTCTTTTGGATTTTCGCTTGCATCTACGCACTGTCCAAGTTTACGGAGTTGTCGGAGCGCTATCTGAGCGCCAAGATCGCATCGAAGGAGCGCAGCTCGGATATGTGCACCCTGAACGAGGAGTGGGAGAAAACGCTCAAGCTATACGAGCTGGATAAGAAGCAATTGGACGCTCAACTGCAGGCGCTGCGCGAGAAAAATGGAGGCTTGGAGCAATCGATGCGAGATCTGCGCGATTGCAATTTACATTTGATCAGCGAGAATTTTATGCGCACTGTGCTGCAGGATCAACAGATCCAGGGCCTGGCTCAGCGTGTTCAGGATCAGCAGCCCTCCAACATCTACATAACCAATCGCCATATTCATTTGACCCGGCAGGTCTTTCTCAACGAGGGACAGATTGACCTGGACCACCAGTTGCGTAATGTGGGCGGGCAGGAACTCAAAATGCCGCAGCAATCGTTAAATGTCTGGGTTCAGTACCTGAAGATGCGTAAGTGCTACATGGGACCCATAGCCGATCCCAAGCTAGTGCTAAATAACGATCCCGAGCATATGATGCCCATTGTCATGACTACCGAGCAGCTGGCCAAATTGCAGGGTATACTTCACTCTATATATATATCCGGTGCACATAGAAATTCCAATATCTTTCTTTCAGGCATGATCTAACATCTAGCGATAGTTCTGTTTGTTTATTGATATCCAGGACCGTGAAACATGCAACAGCAATGAAAAGATGATTTTTATTTACCCACAAAAAAAGAAATATTCTTTGTTGCAAATATGTTAACCATACCAAAAAAAGACTTTCTTATAAAAGAGTAGCATTGCGTACTACTGAAAAGAAAAAGGTGAGTCAAAGGCTTGAATATATATATATATATATATATCATATATATATATATATATATATCATATATATATATATATATATAAATAAGCTGTCTATATCACTCTGTCTATTTATCTTTCTATCTATATATGTATCTATATCTCTCTGTATCTAACTATATTAATTCATATCAATCTATTTGTCTCCTCCTACACCTCTACCTCCATCTCTTTCTAGTTAATAGAAATCTGTGTGAAATGTTTCAACTCCTAAAATGGGTATTACGGAAGGTCTCACACACACTCGTATGCAAAAAATCAACAAGCGGCAGTTCGACAGACCATATACCTCCGACCAGGGGTTACAGATTTAATTGCAAACTATATAATTGTTTACAAATATTTTGAATGGTATATTAGTGCATTATGTAATATTTATAGTAATTACATAAATAAAAGACATAAAATTCGAGTTCAGTTTTTTTTCTGGTTCACTTCGTGGGCGCTTGTCGTATTTGCCGTCTGTAATCTGTAACTGCTCGGGTATCACAACTTAATACTGAAGCAAATTACGTCGGATGTTCTTAGCCAGTCTTTAAGAGTAAGTCTTGATCTCTTAAATAGTATTTCTCCAATTAATTTATCAAGCGAAACTGTCTAATTTACGATCGAAAGAAATGTTATTTTTACATATTTTCACAATTTCTAATTTACTGACTCCAAAATGAACTAATTTTCCGACTTTATGAAACAGTTCTCCACACATCTCTAATCTAACTAAAATATCAAAGCTAAGGATGATCCAGTTTTCCTTGAGATTTTCGATTTTTTAGGGCTTGCAAGGTATGCTAGTTTTTCTAGATGTTCCTGAGACAAATATAATATTTTCTGAAAACTCATTTCCTCGATACCATATTGCAAATCATAAAAGTGCCTCTTTATAATATTATGAGAAAAGGAAATGTTAACGGCTTGAGACAACAATTTATAGAATTTCAGATGAAATCGTAAAACCCAAAGTGTTTCTATTTGCTGGCAGACGCAGCGTCAACATCTGGCCGGAGGACACGGAGGGGCTGAGAGGAGACAGAACGATGACGTTTCACCACGATGACTTATCAGAGGCAGTTTGCTCGCCCAACCAATTCCAACCAGCTCTCCCTCCCACTCTCTACCCGCTCTTCGTGTGTTTCTTTCCCGCTGTTCTCAGTTATTTGCTTTATTCGCGCTGGGGTCAGTGGCAGTTATCGGTGCAATTTTGTAATCAGTCGCCGGCTCAAGGTTAACAGCTAGCCGCCTCCTGCTCTCTATACTCTTCACACTTCACACTCCCCACACTCCACACTCTTCACACACTCGCACACACAATAATGTGCACTCTCAATCACTTTCTTCTCGCTCTTGCACACTCTTCCCATTGCTTTGCATTTCATTTGCTCACATTGACAGTCGCCATGTTTGTTTTTGTTTCTTTTAACATTTGGTTTTGCTTTTGCTATTGCTTTTGTGTTTGCTTCTGAATTTAGATTTTTTTTCTTTAATTTTTGTTGTGGTTTTGTTCTTTTTATTTTGCCTTTTTCAGCGTATTTCACTTTTTTATTATATTTGATTTTATTTCATTTCTGTTCTCATTTTTTCGGTTACTTTTTCTCTGGGTCATTTGCCTGTCTGGCGAATCGGGTAATTTTTTGCATATTTGTTTTTATTGTCACTTTTGTTAATTTAGATTTATGGCCATTTAAATGCACTCCCATTGTATTTATTGCAGTCGCAGTTCACAATTTTTTCGACGCTTTTATTACTATTTATTTATATTTTTCTGGCTCCGTGTGGCATTGCGGCAAGTAAGCCTAATGAGCTCTCTAGACAAGAATGCTTTTATTGCAAACGAATTTCTAAAGAGTCATTTTTGAGCCATTTGAGGATTTGAGGATACAAATTGCAAACATTTACTGGATTTGCATTGAAATTTGAAAGTCAGCTGATGACTTTTTCATTTAGCAACAATTTTACTGAGCTCATCTGATAGCTATTAAAAAGTTTTTTCTCTAAATTTCAATGCTAAATATGCTCATAAGTCAACAGAATTATTTTCATTCAGTAGACTGGAATTGCGTTATATATTATAATTCACTTATACTTAACTTATACTTACACATATTTCAATACTTATACTTATACTTATACTGACATCGATTTTAATTTAAATAAATAAATAAAACATAGCCACACTTATAAATATATTTTCAGATTGGTTTTCAACTCATTCGAAATATTTCCAATACAAGATTGAACACATCTATCAAGCATTATAAATATCCATTAATAGCTGCGCTTAAAATGATTTCATTGTTTACAAACACTGGGGCCCGGGACAATCCCTGGAGCACTTTGCCACATTGTTTCGTGCTGCACAAGCTTTCTGGGTCATGGTTAACAGTGTCAACAACGTCATTCGGCTTGCCACCCGCATACTCCCACACACATCTCTCTCTCTATATATATACATATATATATATAGACCAAAGCCTTGTGCTTCGAATGTTTAATTGTTTTGTTCGACATTGTTGACACCCGCTAGCCCCTGCTGTTTAGCAGTCCCTCTATACCTTCCAGCCGCTTACCTAAAGCCAGATATGACGCAGTCGCAAGCTCTACGTAAACATCAATTGCATGCGAAACTCTCAGTATTTTTAGAGATAGAACTGGACCACGCCCACGACATAGCTTACAGAATTGTTACTACGACGCACTTTGCACTTTTTCTATTTGCATATTTGCATAGATAATTTGTTTACGCAGCCAAAATCATTTCTGCCACATGCCATTAGATGAGAATCAAATAGAAGAGCGCAGAACAGAATCGAATGGAACACAAACAGAAATCTAATCGTTAATTGGCACACTAACCCCAAAAACAAGTGGGATACCGGCGTGCCTTTGCCATTGGCCCCATTCCGCTGACTGATAAAAATAGTTTATCAAGGTTGTTGGCAAAAAACAACACACAAAAAACCAAATAAAAATTATAAAAAAGCAACAGGCAGACGGCAAAACGAAAGCGAAATCGAAAGCATGAGAGTGCTCTAATAATAATAAAAATAAGTGCCCCACTCAAATGCAAATAGAAGAGAGAGCGAGAGTGAGAGAGAGGGAGGGAGCGGCAGAGACAGATTACAGTTTCTTAAAATTGCCGAAGCTTTAATACTCTTACTTAGACATGGTATTTGATTATTTCTGAAATGTATATAATCTATCTATTATTTTTAAAAATATAACAATATATATATATATATATATATATATATGTTAAAATTTAAAATAATTATTTAACAAATTAAAATTATTATACAATTTTCTAAATTTTAATTTATATAATCTATCTATTATATTTACATAATATTATATCTTAACATATTATATTGATTATATAAAATATAATTATATAAAAAATAATTTTCTCTATAAAAATAGAGTTTTTAATCAAGTATTACCATAAATACATAATAACATCTATCCTGAAAATATATATTATTAAAAAACAAGTTGAATAAAAAAAATCTTTTATATTTCTTATCAAATTTCGATAACAATTCCAAGTGGAGTCTCAATTAACCTACGCTGAAAGGTAAATCATAGATATAAATAAATATATATATATATATATTTAAATATAACATATTTTTATGATTTCATATATTTTTATTGATATAAATAATTCAAATGATTGCTCTCTAAGTTGTCAAATGCAGCTGACTTTGATTATTTACCTCAATATATATATTTAGAGTTGACATTCTAGACATCCTCACACACTGAACTATATATAAGAGTTTTCTAGTTCGCACATGCATCCAACTGGCTCAAGTTTCCAACATTCCCCAGACCAGAAATATTTATCGCACTTGCGAAACGCAACACTAATTGAAAACGACCTTGAGATAATGGCCTCATTTATGCAGATAGCTGTGTCTGTATTCGCGTCGAATTCTTTGCTTAGCTGCCAAATGAACCAGGAACCGGGTCAACAACAATTGAAATTAGCTATTCAAATGTTTACACTTGGCATGATGATTGAATAACAACGATGAAATCGAGGAGTGCAGAGAGAAAGCCACAGGTAGACGAAGGAATATGTGCTTAAAAATATTGTTTATCACATGAGATCATATATATATATAATTATATATATATATATATATATATATATATATATATATATGCAATATATATATATATATATATGCAGGTACTGTGTATTTTATTTTGAATATATTTTTAATTTATGAAATATTTATATATATACTTTATATATTACCTGGCCAAAAAAATATTTTTTTTTTGAAAATAAATTAATATTTTTTTATAATTCCGATTAAAAGGAAAAATTAGTCTAAAAATATGTATTTAAATATATATATAGATACATATATTATGTACATTGTATTTTTCATATGTTTTTAATTTTTTCCTGTGAATATCATCGTTTTATTTGTACTTAAGTGGGGAGTGCCTGACGTATAAGGGCTTTATTTAATTTATTTTACTGAATGAACTTTTAGATATTCAGATTGAAAGTCTCTATCGGGGCAAAGAGTGCAGGTAACCAAGGTCAGATGTATCCTCATTTTGTGTTCACTTAGTGCACCAGACTTAGTTATCGATTGTTATCGATAGCTCATCTCTTATAGCGTATGGTATACAGGAATACATTCCTCAGATTTCAAGTCTAAGCCACATCTTTTGGGGTTAGACTTGGCTCAAGCTATCTAGAAAAGAGTTTTTCGTTTCAAAATTCTTTTTGGTCGATTTTAACTAACTGATAATAAAGTTGTATACTCCATTGGGCCTGCAATGCCTCCCATTGTCAATGGGTTCAGGTATACTTATCTGTATATACACTTCTGGCAAATGAAAGGCTAATAAAAAGTGCATATTTATTAAAGCATTAAGAAGTTTGCATATTGAACACTTGTGTAAATGCGAGAGAAAACTGAAATCGAAGGGGAAGCGGAAAGAAGAGGAGAAAGGGGTGGGGTGGGCGAGCAACCCGTTTTCAAGTTTCAATAACTCGAACTCAGCTCGAAGCAAATGTGAATTTCGAATGCGAACTTGAGACAAATAAATCAGCATTGACAAACGGCGTCATAAAAATTCAATCAACTGATTTCTGAAGCATAGCCACACAGCCACACAGCCGCACAGCCGAAATATTGTCAATTATTGCAGCAGGTTCAATAACATCGCAACGCTAAATTCCATGGAATATCTAAACAGCTGACAGACTCTCATGCGTCATATGGCAAAACGGAATAAGAAAAAAGTAAAGCAAGAAACGGAACGAAACATTGAACTTGAGATTTGGCATAGACATAAAAAGAATTTGGAATTTTTTAATAAGGAACAGATATGCTGTCGACGTTGACCAAATAGCTAGCTCAAACAAGGAAATCGAAAGCGAATAAGTCGAAAGTAGTAGGCAACCTAATACCCTGCATATTCAAATGTCTCTAGCAGAATCATATTATAGATAGGATCAGGATCAGGATTAGGATCAGGATCAGGATATTTGCACAATATTTGTATCAAATAGGCCCTATTTCCAAATACCCTGCTTACTTTTATTATTTTTTATTTATTAGGTTCTAAAATACAGGGTATATTAAACAGAAATTTGTGTTTATGGGTCAATGTGCTAGTATCTGGCTGACTCGGGTATTTAGTAAAAATACATATAAAATAAAAAATATAGCTCAT